TGAATTTAAGAACTGAGACCATCAAACACATATGTATTAAGCAATATACTCTTTGACATTGACCTTAGAGATATCTTTGGGGATGTTAATGAAAAGGAAAACAAAAGCAAGAATAAGCAAATGAGATATCTCAAACTAAAACAAAAACACAAACAACCCCCCCAACTTCTGTATAGCAAAATAAATAACAAAACTGAGAAAACAACCTATTGATTGGGAAAAGATATTTGCACATCATATGCCAAACAAGGAATTCATATCCAAAATTTACAAAGAATGTATGCAACTGAACTACTAGAAAACAAAAAGCCTAATCAAAAAAAATGGCAGAAGATCTGGATTCTTTCTAAAGAGGACTTATAGATGGCCAATAGGTACAAGGAAAAGATGCTAAACATTCTTTATTATTAGGGAAATGCAGCTCAAAATCATGAGATATCAGCTTACTCCTGACAATTGCTTGTTCAAAAGGACTAGAAATAACAAGTATGGAAGAAAAGGGTGTGGAAGAAAAGGAATTCTTGTGTACACCATTGGTGGGAATGTAAATTTGTGCAACCTCTCTGGAAAACAGTATGGTGATTCCTCAAAAATTAAAAAAAAATAGAACTCTACTTTCAAATTAAGAACAGAATTCCTCATCTTATACATCTGACTCATGAAAACACAAAGTGGTATTTACATGTACTCCTATGTTCTTTGCGGCACTATTAACAATAGCCAAGACATGGAAAGAGCCTGTCTATTGTTAGATGACTGGATAAGGAAGCTATATCAAGCTAAAAATCTTCTGCACAGTGAGAGGAACTATCATTAGAGTGAAAAGACACCCTACAGATTGAGAAAACATATTTGCACATCATACATCAGACCAGGGGCTAATATGAAAATTCACAAAAGTCTCAACAACTCAGCAACAAGAACAAAAAAAACCAATCAAACAATGGGCAAAATATCTAAATAGACACTTCTCAAAAGAAAATACAGATGTCGAAAACAGGCACATGAAAAAAAAATGCTCATCATCACTTTCCATCATGGAAATACTAATCAAAACCACAGTAAGATATTGCTTCACACCATATCAATGATGATAAAAAGAAAAACCAGAAGCATAAGTACACATCAACTTTTCCACAGGTTAATGAAGAAACACTCAGGGAACTATCTGATTTAATTAGGATATGCAAAATAAGAATAATGGGTATCCAAGAAGGCAAAGAGAAAGAAAGGAATGGAGGACTTAAAGAAATAATAGAGGAAAACTTCTCAAATCTAGAGAAGGAAATAAGTCATCCATGAAGCTCAAAGAACAGGGCCCCCGGTGGTGCAGGGGTTAAAGACAGCAGTAGCAAGCTATCGCCAGCCACTACAGCACAAGTTCAATCCCCAGCCAAGGAGCTGGCCCACATGGTGCAGCAGACCTCTCCTGTCTCATCTGCTGCTCCTCTCAGCAGTGTATTTCAGTTGATATGCCTGTTCTACTCCCCACTCTGTCTCTTGTGAATCCTCTCACCTCCTGCACCTCTAGCCTACACCCTAGTTCTTATATGCATAAGTAAATTAAAAAAAGATCACCTATACACCAAAATGTATTGAGTACTACACCAATATACAGAAGGCATAACACTTCAATATAAATGGACCAAATGAAGGAGCATCAAAGTATATGAGACAATTGCTATAAAATCTAAAAGCAGATATTGGGAAAAACATCAGTGTCCAGGGAGTTGAACACCTCACTTTTACCAATGTACAGATAGATCAGACAGACAGAAAAGAAATAAAGACTAAATTATTTTCCTGTAAGTATCCTATAGTGTGGGTATTCTTATTAGGTCTATTTGCAGATTCCCAGCTATAGAGTAAATTATTGTCAGGCTTTTCTGCCTTCCAGCCATCATTGTTGATGATGGATCCCTGTGGTCCTGAATTCATGCCTGATGGCAGGCACCTGGAATAGGGTGTGGGCATGTGTAGGTGGGTACACCTGGGCAGAGAGACTGGGCTCCTAAGGGCACTGTCACGGGATGCCAGAGGAACGGAACTACCAGAAGAGCAAATGAGAGAGCAGAATGAAGGAGAAGCAGAAGACAGAGAACGAGACCACCAAAGAATGCCGGGGAGCCCAGAAAGAGTGAAGATTCACTGGAGGCTAGGAGGCTGTGGCCTACCAGCCTCCTGGCCCTCCGGCACCCCTGCCTCCTGTGTACCTAGTAAAATCCCAAAAAAAGCCTGAAAAAGCCACCGAGGGCTCCAGGATTCCTTCTTCAGCTGTCTGCTTGTATCATAGAATCTGCTTGGATCATAGAGATCCTGCTCTGTGCCCTTTCTGCCCCTACATCAGCAAACAGAAACTCCAGGTTGGTTATACACATAAAAAATAGAGGAGCCAGGGACCTCCCTGGTGGTGCAAGGGGTTGGAACACTGAACTGTGGGGCTGTCTGCAGCCACTGCCGCACTGTCTCGATCCCCGGCAAGGATGCTGCCCACATGGTGCAGCAGACCTCTCCTGGCTCGCCTGCTGCTCCCCTCAGCAGTGTATTTCAGTTGATCTACCTGTTCTGCTCCCCGCTCTGTCTCTGGTGAATCCTCTCACTCCTAGATCTCTGGCCAGCATCCCAGCTCTTGTATGCATGGATGGATGGATCTTTAGGAAAAAAAAAACAAAAACAAAAACAGAGGAGCCAGTTTGACTTCACAGCCCACTGTCTCCCACTGCCTTTTCATGATCTTTGCCAGATGATAATGTGACAGCAGTGGGCACCTGATGGGGGTTGTGTATCCCATGTCTCATGGCAGTGGCCACTGCCACACCCACCACTGCACCCCTTAGTGCATGAGGGGTCTGAGCTGTAAGCACCTTAGCCTGAACACCTGACTCCTTCCAGGGGAGTAGCAAGATCTTCCACCCACCTGTTTTTCCTGCTGCTTTTGAGCCCATGACTGAGTCCCCTCACAACTCAACCTGAATTTCCTTTGTTCCTTTCCCATTGGAAGGAAAGCTGAGGGAACTTTTCTTGCTTGCTGAATTCCCACTGAGCTAGGTCAGTCTCACGCCTGCTAGTGCCTGCACTCTTTTTTCCAAAACGTCCATCAGTTGAAATTCACCATACACCATAGGGCTATAGATGATTGTCTTCCCACCTGTTCTGAGAGGAGCTGGGTTATCTATTTTCATGACCTCGCTCCCCTTAGCTTTCTCGCTTTACTTCCCTGCATCCAGCCACCAACCTTAGTGTAAATTCTCCCTGGGGTTAGTTCTGGGTTTCTGTTGGGGAAGCTCCAAATCTTCCTTTGAGTATTTTTTTTTATAGTGTATTTAGGAGAGAAAGTAATACAAACCTCTGTATTCCACTATGACAATAAGATACTCGTTGGTTCATGACACTGCATGAGACACAAAGATGAGACTCTGAAGTATGCTCATAAGATTTATGTGGGGAAAATGTATAGGAATAATAATTATACTTCAAAGTGATGAATAAAGTCAGAGTATAATTGTATTTTTTTTTGCAAGGTTTTACTTGTGTGAATAGTTTTATTGTTCTTTTCCTTGTTTTGAGAATGAAATCTTACACTAAACTAAATATTCCTCAGAGTTGTCCCATCAATTTCTTGCTATAATATATCATCAAAGAAATGTGGAGATGCCAATCATTAGCTAATAACTTCCAAAGTGAGAGACCTTTGGTTTTACCTTAAGATTTTCTTTAAAGGCTATTATTCTCTGTGCAAAACTGCCATGCATGAATATTTTATACTTATTTGAGTTTTATGTATTTTGTTACATTATTTATAGGCATGTTACCCCAGTGAAAGTCACTTGTTAAACTATTTTAACTATTTTTTTTTAAATCTGGTAAATGTTAATTGGCTATGTTTTTACTATGAAACGTTAAGCAATTAGTGATATATCTGTCTTATATGGTTTAAAGAGTGAAATGGTTTTTCCTGACAAATTGTAACCAAATTCTTAGGTTTAAACTTAATACTTAGTGTTTTAGGAAATTGATATAATGGAATGTTATTAGGGTTGGCTTTTCTACTTGGTGTGATATTTATTTGTGAATCTGAATTGTACTCCCAACCCCATATAGAAATGCTAAATTATTTTAGTTAGATTTCTCATTCATCCTTTCCTTTAATTCCCCACTTGCATTTCTGATTTTTTTCTTGAGATTTTGCTAAAGTCAACTAGAAAATGTTTTACACACTTTATTGATAAAGTAAGTTTTCAAAGTAAATCTGACCAATTTGTGATTATTCACTTTTTGAGTTTTCTCCCAGAAATCTTGAATCCCACAAGAGCTTTAGTGTTTATTAGTCACAGATATGATCAGAGCAAATTAATCTTATTTCTAGCTAATATATAAGTGGGTAGTACATCTGCTTTTGATTAATCTATGCCTATATTAACACCTTGACTCCAAAATTTAATGCACTTCAAAGTCAAAAATGATTCAGATTGGATTTTTAAGAATCATCTCTGTTAATCTAAATATCATAATTAAATAATTGTCCTTTTAAAGAATAAGAAGAGGAAATGAATATCATTTCTATTTTAAGCCCATTAGGTTAGTAGTAAGATTTAACTGCTATCAAATGTCTGTATAAATAGGTAGATATGAGCGTTATCAATGTAAAAGTAGGATGTGGCAAAAACATGCCTGTTTTTCTGTGTTTAAGCTGACTTTTCAAACTTTTTCAGTTGGGTTGTGAAAGACAAACTAAGTTTTTCTTTGCCCTTTAACTGGGTCATATTTATGAAATTTTGTATTTGTAATGGAAGCAAAAGGTTGACACCTCCCCCACTGAAATTCTTAAGGTATGGTCTCTTGGGGGCAAGTAGATACATTGAGGCTAGAGCCCTTCTATACACTCTGACTACCAGGAACATCAATACTAGCCTCAAGATGGTCAGTGTTTGAATTGGTGAAATATTTTCACAATTGGTTTTACTGCAGTTTATATTTTTTCTTCTGTTGTTTTTACACAGCTGTTGTGAACTTGGACAATTCTGTGGTTGACCTGGAGACCCTACAAGCTCTCTATGAAAATGTGAGTAATAGAAAGAATTTTTTGTGTGTGGATAAAATAATTGTCAATGTACATATCTAGACCCATTGTTTTATGGTCCTGTGAGGAAATTTGACCCTGGTGCACAGAATTTACTTAAGTATAGGTTTGTTATAATACTTTCTAGAAATTTATTGGGCAAATATTTTACAGATCATGATCCAAAACATGTACATGTGAGATCCTTCACATTTCCTCTTTTGAAATATCAATAATAGTAATTATGTGGAGGTTAATTTGAGCTGGGCATGCACTCACTCATTTAATACTCACATGAAAAATACAGGAAGGTACTGTTATTCTCATTTTACACATGAGGAAACTTAGGCATGAAGAGGTTACAACACTTGCTCAACATATATAGCTCCTGTGGTGGTATTTATGGGATTTAGATGGGATTTAATTATTCTGGCTCCACTTTTCTAAACTTTCATAATTTTCTTCACTAAGTTGCTAGATAGTCAGGGTTTCTTATAGTAGTATTTTTTTCTTAACACTTTGGCAGGATAAAAGAGAAAGGTATCAGAGAATGTTCCGTAGTGTGATGCAGTCTTGGGATGTATGATATGTGCAGTGGAATGTGAATTTTTTTTAACTGGGACATGTCAGTATACACCATTGATTCCATGGTAAGACAGTGATTCTCTTTTCAGGACCTTTGATTATATGTAGGGATATAATCATATAATCTCAGTGTGGCCCTATTTTATCTCTAATATTTTTGGGTCCTATTTAATTTTGTTTCTGTTCTTACCTATAAGCTGCCTGGTATTTAAGCCTCTATGCTCTTTGATATATGACCTTTATTGGTCCTTATCTTCACTGTCTAGAGTCAAAGAATTTTTGGCTGTAGTTGATATACAAGATACAGACTCTCTTCCCTGACCAGGCACCATCACCCTAGTCCCTTGTGCTCTTCCCACTCTCATTTTGATCCCTCTTTCTCCACCTCCCCCACAGAATGTCTCTGATTTATAGTTGTCTGTTTATTTTTGTTTTGTTGTGTTATTTTTATTGTTATTATTTTTTCCTTGATCCCTTATTTGGTTCCCCTATAAGTGAAACCATCTGATATTTTTCTTTTTCCTTCTGACTTATTTCACTGAGCATAAGCATATGGATATGTGGTCTTCTCAGTGAAATTGAAATTTTTCTAAGAGAAAATATTTGTAATGGTGCACTGCACAAAATATTTTCTTTAAGAGTAGAGTGGTACCTAGTAATCCATTAAAATTTAACTCCAAATAATGCAGAAATATTTGATTTATTCATGACAATATTCTGAACATCTGGAAGTAGATATTAGACACACAGGAAATATTTAGTGAATGTTTCCTTTACAAACTAATTGATACCCATTGTGAATACAATCTATTGATTATCTGTGCTTCATAATAACGTAAGAAAATTTCAAGTGAATAAAAATTAGTGGTTCTTTCCAGTGGGTATGGTAGTCTAATCATCTTTTACTATAACCTGCTATAGATAAAAAGTGATGATAAACATATTGGTTGAAGCTTTTAAAGGGGTAAAATGAATGTTTATGTTTGTATATCTTAACAATTTTGGATCATGAAGGACAGACTACTGGGGGCCTATTTGCCTACAAGAAAGTACAATCTTCCTGGGATATGTGCTGAGAGAAATTCTGTAATTTCTTGAATAGTATCCAACAGTAAAACTAACTGGCTTCCCAAGTTAGTTAATGACTACACCTCTAACAATGCAAGGAACTCCCCCTAAATTAAGAGAGCATTGAAATACATGTTGTCTAGCTGTGAAAAATACATTTGTTCAAATCAGATTTTCCAGTTGTTTATGTTTCTAAAAGACTTATGATTATTGTGAATTTTTAGAAATAATAGTGATTTAATGTATATTAAGTACTGTTTCAGTGCTTCAATGTATGTATTTATTTAATCTTCTAAGTGCCTTACCTATGACTTACGAGAAAGAAGTACTGTTATAGGGGCCTCCCTGGTGGCACAAGGGGTTAAGCACAGCATTATGAAGCAATCTGCAGGCTCTGCAACATGAGTTCAATCCCCCAGCCAGCCAGGGAGCTACCCACATGATGCAGGAGACCGCTCCTGTCTCACCTTCTGCTCCCCTTAGCAGTGTATTTCAGTCTGCCTGTTTTGTTCCTAGTTCTGTCTCTGGTGAATCCTCTTACCTCTGCACTTCTGGCCTGTACTCCAGTTCTTGTATGCATAAATAAATAAATCTTTTTTTAAAAAAAGAAGTGCTGTTATAACCCCTCTTTGGAAAGAGGAAATTGAGACACAGAGAGGTTCTCACAGTTGTAGCTGGAGTTGATACTTGGTCACCTCCTATGAAGATTGTGCTCTTAAGCTTAGAATTTCCTGACTCAAGGGGATAACTGAAGAATCCTGCATGAAGAACTGAGACAGCACATTGTGATGGAAAAGGACATAGTAAAAAACAGAAGAACTTCATTAGGCCCCAGCACCACAATTCATTTTTTAAATTTAATTTAATTTTAATTGGGGTTAACTATGTTGGTTTACAATCTGAGTATGATTTGGGGTGTAGGTTCACATTTCTTCAGATGTATGTTACCACGATACACCTACTACCAAAGCAACAGTCATCCTCCACAGAGTCCATTGGTTCACCTCCACACTTTTCTTGCACCCAACCCACCCTGGTAGACTCAGTTTTATAGTCAGATTCCAAGAGGTTTAGCTTGGTTTTATCTGTTCCTTTTCTTTATTCCTTTATGTTCCACATATGAGAGAAATCATGCAGTATTTGTCCTTTTCCTTCTGATTTATTATATTTCACATCGCATAATTGCCTGTAGTTTCATCCATATTGTTACAAATCATAAGATTTCATGATTTTTTTAATATCTGAGCAGCATTCCATTATTTATATATTGATATTCATTGTCATAACCCGCTGTTGTTAGACATATAATTTGTTTCTATAACTTATTGTAAATTAGCCACCACTATATATTTATTTATTTATTTATTTTTAGTTCTAAGGTTTGTTTTATTTTTTTTTATTTTAATAATAAATTTTATTTTTATATTCCCCATACAATTGCAGCCCCCCCATTCTGACCCCAATCCCTCCACTCCCGCTCCCGCCCCCTTAAAAGTGTCTCTGGTTCGTAGTTTTTTGTTGATTTTGATTTTCACTTTCTTATAGTTATTCGTTTTCCTGGTCCCATATTTAAGTTTTCTAGATTCCTGCTATGAGTGAGACCATCCAGTATTTTTCTTTTTCTTTTTGGCTTATTTCGCTGAGCATGATCCCTTCCAGTGCCATCCATGTTGCTGCAAATTGCATGTGTTTATCTTTTTTGAATGCTGAGTAATATTCCATGGTATATATGTACCACATCTTCTTGATCCAGTCATCTATTTTTGGGCATTTGGGTTGTTTCCAAAGCTTAGCTATTGTAAACAGTGCTGCTATAAACATAGGGGTGCAGGTGTTCTTTGGAATTCATGTTTCTGTGTCCTTTGGGTAAATACCTAGGAGTGGAATTGCTGGATCATATGGAAGCTCTATGTTTAGTAGGTCCAGAAATCTCCACACAGCTCTCCACAGTGGTTGGACCAGTTTGCACTCCCACCAACAGTGCAGAAGAGTTCCTTTTTCTCCACACCCTCGCCAACATTTGTTGTTGGTAGTTTTTTTAATATGTGCCATTCTCACTGGTGTAAGATGGTATCTCATGGTAGTTTTGATTTGCATTTCCCTGATTACAAGTGATGTTGAACATTTTTTCATATGCCTGTTGGCCATTTGCATTTCCTCTTCAGAGAAGTTTCTTTTTAGCTCTTCTGCCCATTTTTTGACTGGATTATTTTCTTTGTTGTTGTTGAGTCTCATCAGCTCTTTGCAGATTTTTGTGATCAGTCCTTTATCATTAGTGTTGGGTACAAAAATGTTCTCCCAGTTGGTGGGGTTTCTCTTTGTTTTTGTTATTGTCTCTTTTGCTGTGCAGAAGCTTTTAATTTGATGTAGTCCCAGCTGTTTATCTTTGCCTTCACTATCACTGCTTTGGGTGATGTGTCTGTAAAGATGTCTTTGAGGTGCAAATCACGTAGTGTTTTGCCTATATTTCCTTCTATATATTTTATGGTTTCAGGTCTTATGTCTAGTTCTTTAATCCATTTTGAGTTGATTTTTGTGTATGGTGTGAGGTAGTGGTCAAGCTTCATTCTTTTGCATGTAGCAACCCAGTTTTCCCAGCACCATTTATTGAACAAACTTTCTTTGCTCCATTGCATATTCTTTGCTCCTTTGTCAAAGATTAGTTTAGTTGACGGTAAATCTGTGGGTTTATTTCTGGATTTTCTATTCGATTCCATTGGTCTGTATGTCTGTTCTTGTTCCAATACCATGCAGTTTTGATGATTATGGCTTTGTAGTAGAGTTTGAAGTCTGGGAGTGTGATGCCTCCATTCCCTTCTTTTTTTTTCAGGAGAGCTTTGGCTATTCGGGGTTTTTTGTGATTCCATATGAATTTCATCAATAATTGTTCTATTTCTTTGAAGAATGACATTGAAATTTTGATTGGAATAGCATTGAATCTGTATATTGCTTTTGGGAGGATGGCCATTTTAATAATGTTTATTCTTCCAATCCATGAGCAGGGGATGTCTTTCCATTTCTTTGTGTCTTCTTCTATTTCTTTTAACAGTATTTTATAGTTTTCTTTGTATAGGTCCTTTACTTTTTTGTTAGATTTATTCCCAAATATTTGATTTTTTTTTGTTTCAATAAAAAAAGGGATGGTTTTTTTGATTTCTTCTTCTTCAGATTTATTGTATGTGTATAGGAAGGCTACTGACTTTTGCGTGTTGATTTTGTATCCTGCCACTTTACTGAACTGATTGATGAGTTGAATTAGTTTTTCTGTGGACTTTTTCGGGTTCTCTATGTATATTATCATATCATCTGCAAATAGTGATAGTTTGACTTCTTATTTTCCTATTTGGATT